CCATGGAGGATGATACTAACATCTGAAGACATTACCAAGATGACCAGCACCATGTTTGAAGTATTCAAAAGATTTGTTATCAGTTTAATGTATAAAAAAATTAGATAGATGGTGTTTAAATAGGGTATGCACAAAGATGATTGATATTTTGTAATTGTTTCAGCCAGATCAATATTTTAAGCTTTAAAGTTAAGTTTTAGCTTAAATGAAGTTTAATGTACTTCTCAGACTTAAATATGCTTAGGAATAGCTTAGAATCTCATTAAACGTAAGATGCTAATTGCCTATATCAGAGTGAGGAATGACATTATTCCTTTTTTTAACAGATTCTGAAGCGATGTGGATGTTACTGGTGCTTGGACTGCCTTAATCATCATGGAATTATCACTTAGCCATTATTATACAACATTTTAAAAAATTAACTTACTAAATGGTGATGAAATCAAGTAGGAGCTTTTAGGTCATCATCTTTGAAATATTTACCACAACAAATTCGGTTGAAATGTTGAAACTACCTAATGAATGTAACTTAGTTTTTCATCCTTCCATTCATATTATCGCCTGTACAACTTCGAAGTCACTTCACGCGGTAGACCACACCTCACGAATTGCTCAACGTCTCCTGCTGCTCTATCCATGATCCTGTCACTCCCCCTCGTGATTGAAACAGACATTGGAAACAACAACAACAACAAAGAGATGAACTGGATTTGTTTGACATATTTTTCTCTCCAGTCCTTTTTTTTTTTCTTCTCATCACTAAGGTTTCCGTTTCCCCTTGCATGTCCTAGCCACAATTATCAAAGAAGTTGATGGAACTTGCTGTGCTTATCTTTATGAGTCCTTGCAGAAATGTCAGTAAATCTCTTTTGCTCTCTGCAGGTTGCATTTTTCAATCAAATTAATTAGCTTATTCATAGAGAAGAAAATCTTCTGTTGTCCCCATGCAAGTCGTCTTCTTGTACTTCCACAGTTGGAAATTTTGTCTTTTTCTTCTCTATCTCTTACCTCCCCTGACCCTAGGGGTATTCCGCAGCATAACACAAAACAAAAATCAGATAGTTTTACTCTTCCTGAGATATCTAACTCAAGAATATCAACAGAATTCTCATGTATAATATAGTTCATTTTAATTGTGAAATCAACTGACTCTTAGTTCCCTAACTTCAATATCATAACCACTGCTCAAGATTTAGCATAGGGCCCAGCGCAGCGGCCTAGTGGCTAATGTCCTCATCTTGAACGTGCCAGAATCCCATATGGGCACCGGTTCTAATCCCAGCAGCTCCACTTTCCATCCAGCTCCCTGCATGTGGCCTGGGAAAACAGTCAAGGATGGCCCAAAGTCCTGGGACCCTACACACGCATGGGAGACCTGGAGGAAGTTCCTGGCTCCTGGCTCCTTATCGGTGCAGCACCAGTCAATGTGCTCACCTGGGGAGTGAATCATTGGACAGAAGATCTTCCTCTCTGTCTCTCCTCCTCTCAGTATATCTGACTTTGGAACAAAAATGAATAAATAAATCTTTTTAAAAATAATAAAAAATAGGGCCCGGCACAGTGGCGCAGTGGTTAAGTTCCTTGCCTTGAACACCCGGGATCCCATATGGGCACCGGTTCTATCCCGGCAGCCCCACTTCCCTTCCAGCTCCCTGCCTGTGGCCCAGGAAAGCAGCAGAGGACAGCCCAAAGCTTTGGGAACCTGCACCCGCGTGGGAGACCCAGAAGAGGCTCCTGGCTTTGGATCAGCATAGTATCGGCCGTTGCGGCTCACTTGGGGAGTGAATCATGGGACGGAAGATCTTCCTCTCTGTCTCTCCTCTCTGTATATCCGCCTTTCCAATAAAAAATAAAATAAATCTTTAAAAATAATAATAATAATAAATAAAAGTTAGCATAGATCCATCTCAGAATAGTGGTGTCAAATCGGTTTGTAACTATGGATATCTTAACAAAGCCTTTTATGGTATTATTTTTCATTTCATCATCAGTTCACATGCACAAAAACACCAGAATGAGAATAAACAAAGATGGGATGATTCTCATGAGAGTGATAAATAAAAGGAAGGAACAGAGAGAAGCAAATGCTTGCTTACTTTTTAACTCATATTCATTTGCCACCATATGGTAAATGTTTCAACTTAAAAAAGAAAAAACTTCCAACTTTAATTGTCGTACTCATGCCCTTTGATCCCTATATGAAAACCTACACATATATCCTTTGAAGAATAAATGAATAAGACAATTAAGAAAGACTGGAGAAATATATATTGCATATATCTATCCACACATATATATGTAAGTGATATGCATGTGTTTCGTGTGCCTTATACATGTTTTATTATATGTTACAGGTTTCATATATATTAAATATTATCTATACTATTTATATGCATGCATATATAAAGGCAACATATTGATGCCTAATATAATGAATCAATATCCACTCAACATATTTACAATGATGACGTTTCTTTGCATTTTGTCCTGGTTTTGGATTCACAAGCTGCCTTTGCATACCCTAGGCAAGCCGGCATGTTGTATTGGTGTGTGGGAAAGGAGAGCTAGTGCAGTGCTCTGCATCAGCCAGCTGAAGACCGCAGCATGGAAGTTGGTTACATCAGTTCCCATAAACAAGTGTCTGAAAAATTGAAATCTTACCCTTAGTAAAATTGGATTCAATTTATGTAAATGCATGATAAGAGTGTATTATTATCTTTTGATTTTTTCTTAATTTCATTTTTTATAATGCTTAAGGGTTTGTAGGGTATATAGTATTTCCTAGGTAAAAGTTGTATAAAGGTAGCCTCTGCAGACACTAAGCAAGGGAGATGATTCCTAAGCAAAAAGGTCCTTTCATAAAAGGCCATAAAGAAGCCAAAAATAAACAAAAATGTGTTAGCACTTAACAACACGCTAACAGAATGTAGAACATTACTGTTGCAACCGCCACCTCGTTTGGAACTAGCATCTCTTCTATGAGCTATTATCTTGGCCTATTAGCTGTCTGTTTTTCCTCTAGCAGCCTAACATTTTTTTCTTGACCTGTGTCTCCTGTACCTAAAATCTGGCAGCATTTTCTTGTGCTTAGCTTAGTACCTTTTACTCTGACATTTCCGTATGCAATCAGACTGCTATTTGTATTCTGACTCCATCTGATGTCTTTGCTATCTGGCAACCCCACCCACATCTTGTTAGTCCCACTGCCTTTTGATTCCTCCAACAAGCTAGATGTCCCTGGATTATAGCCTTTGCATTAGATGTTCCCGCTGCTTATAACATTTCTGTTCATAACCTGCAAATGGTAGTCACATCTCCTCATTCAACTCCCATACTAAATGTTAAGAAACTTTTAGCAACCTCCCAGGAATAAAATTCAAAGTAGTCACTCAACACATCTCTATTTGACAATATTTGACAATATTATTATGCATATGGCATAAGGGTACATAGAGTGTGTGTGTGTGTGTGTGTGTGTGTGTGTGTGTGTGTGTGTACATTATTACCCTAATGACAGCTTTTTTTTTTTAACAAGTGACTTTTAAAATGTTGTAAAACAGAGAAAACATTGGAGACTTTAGGCTAAATTCACATCTTCTTGCAACTCAATGTCAAGATGCAATTAATTAATTTTGAATAATTTCTGTTACATGGTTACTGTTACTGAGTAGAGGATGCCCAGGATAAAACAGAGATATTTAAGCTGCAGAAGAAGGGGAAAATGGAGTGCATGAAAGGCAACTGATGTTACTACTACAACAGCAGAGAAAGAACCTGGGTTTTAATAACTTTCTCATTTTGTCTGAAGTATCTTTAAGCTGCAAAGAGTGGTGCAAACAGAGGCTTGAACCTGAGGAATGCTGGCACATAATCTTAGATGGGTGGATACTCCATATCTTATGGACTAGAATTTAAAAATGGGGAAAATTCGCTAGTCCGGGTCTTGTCAGGGTGCACATTCAATAGTTGCATTCTGGCGGTTACAACAATCACCTCTAGGGTTAGTTGTAGTCCTCACAGCGGTGGGGAGATGTCAGTATGTGTAGACAAGGCTATCTTGGCTTCGCACATGGATATAGTTGTAAAAATTCTGTCTCGTGCATGTTTTATTTTTCAAAAGACATAAGCTTGAAAATGTGTTTTCCTCCTCCCTATTGTCACGCTATAATTTAGTACTGGACCAGCAATCCTCCTAGCATATCTAATGAGTTTCTTAGGTCCTATTTTAAAGCTTTTAATCTTCATAAATAATAGCTAAGTAAACTTAAGGCACTTGGACAATTTCTTTAGCTTAATGTATTCAAATCCACAGTTGGTACTTCATTTCTTTTCATTTAGAAATAAATCTATCTTGTCTCGATGGGCTCTACATGAATACACACACGTAACAATATAAATCATAGCAATACTTCCAGCAAGATGAGATCTGCTCAGTACCTTTACACGCAATACATTATTTCCAGAAATGGATCAAAATGCCTTTTTCATGAAGGCAATGTATATGCTTAAGGTAATTCAAGCCATACTGTACACCGGAAAGGATTTCTAGACATAACTGAGAAATGCTTTTCAAGAGAATTTCCATAAACAGATGAATAACACTTTAATAATTTCTGAGAGCTTTGTCTTCAGAATGGAAGTTTTCTGTCAAGTGTAACTAGCAGCTGCTTTTCCATACATGGTTTCCTTGTGTAGGCTTCCCTGACTCCCGGAGGCCAACTTCCAAAAAATAGTAAATATAAAGAAACATCAGAAACTCTTCGAGCTTAGATAAGCAGATAACTTCCCAACTATCAAACATATCCATGTCGATTGCAAAAGTAAAAAAATCAAAACTTTATTGGCATAACAGTTAAACTCTAGTGTTTTCTGAAGAAAAGCTGTGTGGCTTGGGGGGAAAACAACTAAGAAGACCAATTTTTACCATCAAAAGGCATCAAATTAATAGTAACTGTCCAAAACTTGCTATTTCCCTTCGTTACCAAACAATGAATACATACCTGCTTTGTTTTTCCATGCTTGCTACCCTGAGACACTCCCATCTTGAATTTAGGAGATTCATTTGTTCTTGTACTTCAGTTTCTTCATCTTCTGATAATTTCCCGGTTTGAAGCAATTGACTTCCCAGTTGCAGAACATTACCAACACGCCCCTGATGAGATGTCAAATCCATCATGTACCCCTGGTGGAGAAAGAAGTTAATATTGCAGTTAACACTGTAGGCAAACCATTTGATCATTTGACTAAAGATGTGTGCATTTGTTTGTATGATTTACTTGAAAGGCAATGCATCCACGAGAGAAGCAGAGACAGATTTACTTGCCATAAAATTGCAACAACCAGGACTGAGCCAGAATGAAGCTTGAAGCCAAACTCTGCATCCTGGTCTCCCACCTATGTGACAGGTGCCCAAGTACTTGGGTCATTATTGGCAGACTTGCCAGGCACATTAGCAGGAAGATGAATAAGAAGCAGAAAGCAGTACTCTAACTGGTGATCTAAAACAGGATTCCAGTGTCAGGAGGGGCTTCACTTGCTGGGCCATGACACTGGGCCTCCATTGAGGCATTGACTTTGCTGTAAAATTTCAGTCCTTTTAAATTTCTTTTTTTTTTTAAGTTTTTAAATTATTGATTATGTTGCATTATGTGACACAGTTTCATAGGTTCCAGGATTCCCCTAACCCCTCCCTCTGCCCCCCCCATGGTGAATTCCTCCACCTTGTTACACTATTACAGTTCAAATTCAGTCAAGATTCTTTCTTTGCAAACATATACCAAGCACAGTGTCCAGCATCTTATTGTCCAGATCAATTCAACAGTTTCTTGGGGAGACCATCTCTGGTCTGAAGGTAGAGCTGGCAGAATATCATCCTGATCAATTTAAAGCCACAACATAACATCAAGGACAATTTACAACATTATGGAATTAATTGACATGGTATTGAGTAACCGATATGTTAAAAAAAAATGCAAGTTCTTAAACACATCCTGTGACTACTTCATTGACATTTCAATTTTAGTATATATACAGAACTGGCTGCTGTACACCTTAAAATGGCTATATGGTACTATTCAGCTGTCTTGTGTCTATATTCATTTTAGTATTTAGCAGCTTATAGTGTTGAAGCATAATTTTGCTGAACTTGGCAGATTTTAGGAGAGTCTAAACTGGTTTATAACTCTAACAAGGCATATGTCAAAAGTTGAGATGCAGAACAGTTTTAGGAGGGGTGTGCAGAGAAATCTTCAACACCCTAGTGAGGAGTATCTAATCTTTGTGTCCTACCTAGTGAGGTATATGTGGATCCACACTGATCATTTCCTGTCTGGTTCTAAGCTTTCCTTATTGTTCTCTATCTATTCTAATATTTTTTGTTTGGTTTTTTTTGAGGGGGGGCGGTGCTCCGGGCGACCCTGATGATAATTGCAAGAGAAAATGGGGATCCAAAGTTGGAACTAAGTAAGGACCAGAAAAAGCCCCTCTCCCTAGTCCCGAAAGAAGTTGACTGTTCTGTTTCTGTGGACCACTCAGGGCTCATGGCTGTTGTTCCAAGGATCTTGGATCCCATGAGGAAGGATTTGGGCCTCTTCCATCCCGTGTGGTAGATCCAAACGGGGTGGGTAACCTGAGTTCTCAGCCTCCAAAGGCACTCCAATTCCCTGTGGTCTCCTTGGCAGTTGGGATATAGTCCTTGGTGCCCGTACTGATAGTCCTTGGTGAGGATCCAGGAGTCTCCAGGGTTCGAATACAAGCCTCTTCCTGTCCACCTGGCTCCACTCTGGGGTCCCCCTCTGTTCTGTGCATATGACCTCCTGTTAAGAGGTTGTCAGGATCGCTCCTGACTCCCCTTGTATGTCTTTGTAGTTTTTCTATTGTCTAAGCTGATTTGAGTCTGTTGTCTATGAGTTACCTGTTATGTTCCTGATAGGTTATACTTCATGTCTTCCTCACACATTCTAAGGAAATGGAAGATGCTTTTTAAATTTCAATTCACTGTAATAGTGCTTCAATTTTTATTTCAAAAAGCAAATGTTATCATTTTGGAAATGTGAGTTACAGTTACTTTCTTAGATCTCCTTCTGTAGAGAGTCAGAGACAAGGATTTGGGGACAAGTGGTTTAGTGAGAAAACTCTCAAGAAGATTGCAATAGTGTTCAAGAAACAGCAAGAGAACAGGGAAGAAGAGGAAGCCCAACCAGAGTGTCATCTCAGTCAAAGGCGCCCACTTTTTCCAGGTCATTACACACAGGGACTTGGGCGTATAATTAGGGCATCAACATTGCCCTGGCATAAGAAAAGATGGCTGGGATTTTCTTTGCACTGGAGGATGAGTCACTGGGAAACCAGATCTGAGCATCCCCAAGGACTGGTTAATAAGGGCGACTTCAAATAGTGCACAGTGGAATCCAAGACACACACACAGTGCGTGTTTCTATTTCAAAATTAAAACCAAATTCCTAAAGTCTTACAGAGTCACCATTATAAACAAGTCATATTGCTTGGGTTTGTGAATATATATATTTTTTTACCTCATGTGTATGAAACTGTTCTTTCACTTCTTCTACATCATTTGAAATTTCTCTTTGTGCCTGCAACGTGTCTTCAGCAGAAAGAAGCCATGACAGTACTTCTTCTAGAGCTGTTTGGTAACTGTCCAGATTCACTTCAGTCTCCATCAATGGACTGCCAAATGATTTGTCTCCAGCAGCTTCCAAACGCTGAACAATAAAAGAAATTGGATGTTGCACAATTAGTGTCTTTGCAGACTGTTCTGGTACATTAAATGATAAATTAAATGAAATATTTAAAATGCCAGAAATATCCACTTGAATGATAAAGATGAACACTAGACACATACCGTGGCAGGCCTGTATTCTACCATCATTACAGATACACAGAATACACAGAAACATTTTTCAATGGTAGGCAAAATCCATACACAATTAATGCTTTAGTAAAGCTCTTCTAGGTTACTATAAAGGAGTTATCACATTAACCATTTAAGCTATATTTTTAAAATACTATGTGATTTCATCTATAGGCAACATTTCCGTTCATATTTATTACACTGTACACGTATATCATTGGAATTAATTTACATACTTTCTCAATAACATTAGAAATGTATCTTGCATAGAAGCCACAGTTGAGAAAATAATTCTGAAAATTTATAAAAGTTACTAGAAAAAAATGTACTGCCAAGGGGATGTGAGGCTAAAATGTGCAGAGAAATATCCTGCTCATACATTTGAAATTTCTAACAGCATAAACAGTTCTATAAATTAATTATTTGTTTCTAAGTGTCAATGATCTAAAAAGCAAAGACATCTTGGGAGAGTAAAATATGATCTCTTTTCTTTCTGATTTAGTCAGTAGACTGTTAAGGAAAAATGAAAACAGCTGTCTTAGAATTTCCACTAAGACCCCAATCTAGAATGAGTGCATCTATAACTAGATTATAGTCTAGAATTAACACCAAGGGAAGAGCCAGGCCACGCATAAAGCAATTGTTAGGAGATGATGCCCAAAGCGGTAGACAATCTTAACCCATTATGTAGCACAAAAGTGTAAATCTGAACTCCGGTGAGAAAGGATCCTTCTGGAATGGCTAGTGTTTAGCCTGGCCAGAATGGCTCCCACCTGAAAAGCAGTTTACAAAGGACAGTATTAACCTTGAAAAGAGGCCATGTGTTTGCAGATTCAGATGCCAGGTTATCAGTACTACCAAAAGATAGGAGAAGCCTCTTGGCTTCCTGCTGACTAATGTTAGGCCAGTATCCAAGAATAATAATTGAGTCAACAAGAAATTCCACATAAGTTTTGTCTTTGTGTCAAGTGCACATGGGGTATGTGGCTGAGCTTAAATTGTACCAACAGCATTCAAGAAGGTTCCATGCTCAGTTAAGGAAGAAGAGTAAATTGTTTATATACATATAATATATAATATATGTAATATATTATAATATATACATATACACACACAGAGCACTGTTTGGACAAGAATTTTCTGTACATCTGAATCAATGTTGCTTTCTTTCATTAGACAACCACATTTGCTGAAATTGATGATGCCAAAAGAAATGGAAAATATGTTCCAGTTCTTTCCTTTTTCACTGATCAGTAGGCAGATTATTGGTAGTATTAACATGCCCATGTGTGAAATCAATCAATGAAGTGTGCAATCTAGTAAAAAAAAAAGATGCAATAGTGTATCTGCCCCATTTCAATATAATGTTTCTACATTCTGGATAGATTAAATACATGTATATGCCCGAGCTATGAGACACAAGTTACATAATGCTGGTAATTCTGCCTGGTTCTATATTGTCATTTATCACAGGAAATATATAATGTTAAAATTAATAATACTTCATAACATTCATTTTCCTTAAAAATATATAGGCAATTTGATAGTGAAACTATGGGATAAATAGCTTGCTCTTTAGTAATTCTAAAACTGTGCATCCTGTTTTTTGAACAAAAAGATCTGTTTATGTTGTTCACTAAATCCCACAAATTATGTAGCTACTCCTGGCATAGGTGGAAGAAAACGCACTCCAACCCTGAGCACTTTGCCTCCTCTGAGTTAACATGAGAGAGGAAATGGGAGATTTGAAATGTGAAATAAAATGTGCTGGTGCAACCCAGAAGTTTAATTCAAGGGTACATAGTTGATGCTTGATTCTGATTTGAGGTCATGTGATACGAGGAAATTTACTTAGTCTTGTACTAACCTTAATTTGCTCCTATATAACATGGGAGTGATATTGTTTTCCTAAAACAATCACAGAGAGATCTAAAAACCAGCATACAAACTGCTTGGTGAAATGCCTTAACTTGTGTAAGATTCCAATAAAGTATGTTATATCTGTAATTACTACTACATTTCTGTGTACATAAGAAGTTATTTATATATATATATATAAAACACTATCCATATAATTTAGAACTTTGACTAAGTAATATTAGGTAATACTATCCATGTTCTTTGAAGATCTTTCTGATGAATCAGCCTGGAGTAATGGAAAGGGAATAACTAAAGCAAGGAGTGAAGACAACTATTTATTTTAATGCTCTGTTATCCAAGGAAATTTCTTGAAATATATTTCTAGTTATAACTTGTAATAATAGGTTTCCTGTTACTAAAAACTGTCCTAAACCTGTACAGAACAATGGCCTTGACTCCATGGATAACATATTTTCAAACTTCAGCTTACTACTTGTCTGATCTTAGTTACTTAACTTTATCTCAGCTGCACACATGCAAAACATGAAAGATAAAAATATACATCCAGGGTTCATGATTGTGGTGCAGTGTGTAAAGCTAACTCCCAGAATACCACCATCCCATATGCGTAATAAGTTTGGGTCCCAGTTGATTCAGTTAGAATCCAGCTCCCTGCTAAAGGCCTGGGAAAGCACCCAAACACTGCCAAGGTCCTTGAGCCCCTGCACTCACATAGGAGATCCAGAAGCAGTTCCTTGCTCCTGGATTTGGCCTGACCTAGCCATGACTATTATTGTGGTCATCCAGAGAGTAAACCAATGGACTAAAGACTCATCTGTCTCTCTCTCTCTCTCATTACCTCCCTCTCTCCCTCTTTCCTTCCCTCTTTCAAATAACTAAACAAATCTTTCAAAAATAAACATTTCTAGGATTGTTCCAAACATTCCATAAGATAATGCATATAAAAGTCTACACACATGTCAACTTCCAAGAAATTATCTTTGACGTGCCTGTATCTGGGACTAACGTTCAATGAAATGGCGAATGATTTTTATGAGGAAATAGTTGAATGAGCTGTATATATTTTTGGAAGCATGCTTTTGGCTATTCAGAGTGACTTAAGTCATCGAATAGCTACACATACATAGTAAAACCAGCAATTCAGCAAGCTACAAAGCTTGTACAAAAATAGCATCACCTAAACCTACAATGCCAGGATACACTTGAATAGCAGAATGCTGGACTTGTGACTGTTGCTGAAAGACTATGCTATTATAATAATACAGGGGAAAATTGTGTGGGAGTGCAGAAAGGGGAGGGAGGAAGGGGAAGTATAAGGGGAATTTCTATACCTACAAAATCACAAAATGGAAAATAAGAATAAAAAATAACTGAGATATTTTCAGAAGGCACAATGATTTGGGAAGTGAGTAGCTTAATACCAAGATGGTAGTGACTATTTTGCCAACTTACCTAAGTTTAACCTAAATATAAGATGAATTTTAACCTGGAAAAAACTTTTTATTGCTCTCAAATTTATAAAAGGTTCTAAAATATTTGAAAAATTTATCATTCTTAGTTCATTTAGATATGACATATTTCTTTTTAAAATAGAGTCTAAGCAAATGCATGGAAAGTAAATATTTTTTGTGTCATCATTTTTATCCTTCAATGAAAGTATGTTTCAGATCTAAAGGATTGTGGATGATTAACCAAGTGGTCTTTTTACTAAATAACGGAAGTGCAGTTCAAAGGAAGCAGGATTAACATCTGGATATGGTCTTGCCAAATTTCCACTGTGTTACCTCACAGATGTAACATGTAAACAGGGGTATTATTGAAAGAAAGAAAAATGATTACAGAGGTGATTACACAAAATTAATCCATCATGTAACTTTGTGCATGACATTCAATATAATGGTACCACTAAATAAATCATTTTGAATATTGCTTGTGCCTGAAATTAAGTTCAATGTTAAACCCTAACGAGGATTCAAGAAAAATTCTGACCCACTGTTACGGCAATACTGACAGTCACAACAACCACTACCTACATATATAATAGCAACTACAACTGTTATTATGTATTGTCACTTAGTGGCAGTCAATTTGCTAACTACTTGACATACGTCCTATTACCTTTCACAACAAAGCAGGATAATAAAATGCATACTGAGAAAGTAAATGATGTCCACAAAATAGAAGCCAGATATGTGTTTGGTAGATGAAAATCATAAATCAGGAAAAGGAAGTTAAAGAAAAATAGTCTCAGGTTCACACAGAATACAGTGATTTAAACATACTGGAATTCTGGGCCTGTGCAGTGGCATAGTAGGCTAATATTCTGTGTTTCAGCATCCAATTTGGGCACCTATTCATATCCAGCTGTTCTCATTCCCATCCAGCTCCCTGCTGATGGCCTGGTAAAGCAGCAGAGGATGGACTAAGTCCAAGGTTTCCTGCACCCACGTGGGAGACCTGCAGGAAGTCCCTGGCTCCTTGCTCTGGATTGGCTCGGCTCCAGCCATTTGGCCATTTTAGAAGTGAGCCAGCAGATGGAAGACCTCTGTCTCTTTCTCTAAAAAGTTGCTGAGACTTGGCACTGTCTGACTTGTGAAGTGCTTCACATAATCAAGCAATAGCATATAGCCTAAACCTGAAGGTACACACATGATGTTTGTCTGAAAGAACTGTGATTATTTTGTAAACCTGTTTTCTTAGGACTTGAATATTTATTTGAAAGTCACAGTTAAAGACAGAAAGAGAAAGAGGGAGGGAGAGAGAAGAAAGAGATCTTCCATCTGCTGGTACACAAAGGCTAGGTCTGAAATGCAGCAGCTAAAACTGCATCAAGTCCCTGTGTGGTTATGCTGTTATCATACATGGCACCTTAACACACTACACCACAGCACAGGCCCTGTAAACTTCCTTTATAGTTTTATTAACACATTGATCAATAATGTTCATTTCTCCTACTTCTATAAGAGAATC